GCACTTCCCGACGCTGATTGAAGCGCGTCCACCATAGACTTTGTATGTAAAACTGCTGCTCCTGATGCTGAAATCGCGTTCGGTGTGAACGCACCATTACACTGTTGGCGTATCATATTCTTCTTTGTGGTCATGTTCGGCCAAGTTCCGTTGTAGAAAAGTAACAGCGCCCCCTCTGGTCACAATATGTGACGGTCACAAAATATGGTGTAACACTGGTAAAATACATTTATTTTTCTTAAAGCTTTTAAAGACACAAATTATTGTTGTTAGATCTCTGTGTTAAATTAATGAAAAAAAAATAATTAGTTAATCTGTTTTTCTGTTGAATAGTTGGAGAACAGTACTGTGCAGCTGAGGGTGATTGGCAAGACACCAAGGCTGGATTTACAGCTGAAATCAAATGTATAAATCAGGCTGGATCCAGAAAAAGACCCTGCAACAAGTAAAAACTGAACACTGATCACTTCCACCAACACATACTGAAAAAAAAAAACTCAACATAACTGGTTGTACTCTTACGAGCAAACAATCGAAAATGGAAAAATGTAAAGTTTTATTAAAAACTAATTTTCTGTTGGGAAATAATTAATTTTAATTCATTGTTTCAGTCAGGGAAATTGGGGACCGGAGGTTTCAGAATGTGTGAATCAGGATCTCCATGATGTGCTACAGTTTGCTCATGTATGTAAACTTTCAGTACTTTTCAACTTTTCTTCATTTCATCAACAAGTTTGTAGTAATACACAATACATTTGGGTACATACTGGGGAGTACAACATATAGTACATACTTGAATCTATGCACCCACCAACGGGCAGGACAAGCTATGCTAACAAAATCTCAGCAACAAGCAAGTACTGTAGTGTACCTGGTTCTAACTTAGTACCAGGTACATATCGGGCTTTAATATTGATTGGTACCAAAACTTCATCTCAAATTTAAAGTAATTATAACAGCAGTACCTAAAGTAAGAAATTAAAGTTGGCATTATCTAAAGATTACTTTAAACTATATTATTTGTTTTTACTTTACATTTTATTAAGATACATTATTACACAAATAAAGAGTACTTTCATACTAATCTGTACTCATTTATCTTTTTGACAGATGTTGTGTCTTTAACTTATACTGATCTTTACTGTGTTTACAGATTAGTGACAATGGACTGGGTGAACTGGATGCAAATGCAGCACAAGCATTTTCTCGCTTTAATAAAGTCACCAGGACAGCAACATTAGCGACTGTTGCTAATGTGAACACCTCAGTGGAGGTACTCCAGACCTTAAACAGTAAAATAAAAAGCATACAAAATGTCAGCGCAATAGATGTAAGTATAACATCATCTTTATTTTATGTTTTAAGGACATAAACGTAGTTGAATAATGAATACTGCAACTTTTTATTTAGTATAATAATTTCATGAAATGAAGTCCATCATGAGTGTTATTTATTACATGTAGATTTGTTTTTTTTTCTTTAGAGTACACTATAATTAAATGTATTACTACTTTCTGTTTCCTTTTATTCCAGTGTGAAAACTAAAAGTTACTAAAAGACCTAAAATTACTGCAAACATTTACATACTGCATACTTTCACTGTAGAAGAACACAGAGAAAGTATGCAGTATGTATACATATACAGTACATACTGCATACTTTTACTGTAGAAGAACACAGAGAAAGTATGCAGTATGCATACATGTACAGTACATACTGCATACTTTCTCTGTGTTCTTCTACAGTGGCCCAAAAGGGTCAACAGAATGCAAAAACCACAACACAACAGCAAAAACCACAACACAACAGCAAAAACCACAACAAGACAGCAAAAACCACAACACAACAGCAAAAACCACAACACGACAGCAAAAACCACAACACAACAGCAAAAACCACAACACGACAGCAAAAACCACAAGACAGCAAAAACCACAAGACAGCAAAAACCACAACACGACAGCAAAAACCAAAACACGACAGCAAAAACTACAACACAACAACAAAAACCACAACACGACAGCAAAAACCACAAGACAGCAAAAACCACAAGACAGCAAAAACCACAACACGACAGCAAAAACCAAAACACGACAGCAAAAACTACAACACGACAGCAAAAACCACAAGACAGCAAAAACCACAACACGACAGCAAAAACCACAACACAACTGCAAAAACCACAACACGACAGCAAAAGTCACAACACAAAAGCAAAAACCACAACAC